AGCAGGAAGGTCACTCCAGCACTGTTCTACAGGCTCTTCTATGCCGGGCATATGCACATTTCTCCCAGTGCTTTTTGCTCAAATCAAATGATAAAATAATGTTTCCTATCCAGCCCCTAAAAGATGAAAAAACCTGCCACACTGCCCTCTTCTGCGAATGCTAGTGACAGACTGACATTGGCTCTGGTACCTCCATGTCGGTATCTCAAAGATTCACTCGACCTTCAGATTTTACTTTACTCCTCAGAAAACACAAACTCAGAATGAAGGGGGATACGAGGGCCCAGGCGTGAAACAGAGGGACAAGGAGGAAGCAAGCAGGGAATTAAGAGCTGTCACGCTTAAGGGTTTGAACAAATCCTACTGAATTCAGTAGAAGCACTCTGCAGCTAGTGATGAGAAAATAGGGACCAAAGATGGAAAAGGCAGCAAGGAATGAGAGCATGAACAGGAAGCAGAGGAGAGAGATGGTGCAGAATAAGGGATTTGAGAGGCAGAGACCGTACAGCACAGAGCTGAGAGGGTTACTGTTGGTGTCTAAGAGGCTTCTCGGAAATTCGTAACCAAGGCTTGGGCAACAAGGGAAAACAAGGGGAAAAGCTGTATTTCCAAGAACCCATCTCAGATCTTACTTTGAGTTCAGTGAGGTATATCCTTGGAAATGTGGCCAGCGTGACGTGCATATTTATCGAGAACATGTAGTTACAAATGACTATAGTGCATTTACAGTACTGTTGGGCATCGATTTCAGAAAGTCTTCCTCTGAAAGAGGACACAGACGAAGGTTGTTGCTTTGTGTTTGTGAACTCCACAGCTCTGTTCAGTCTTTGATTTTTCTATGATAGCTCTTCAGCATTATAATAAACTGAGACAGATGGAGCCTGTCATTCTTGTCTTTGTAACAGGTTGTCTTTACCATTTACATTTCTTGACTTGTCTTTTTTGCTCATTAGTTCCAGTTCCAGAGACAGCCAGCTGGCAATTGTTTGCCAAGAGGAAGTGTCTCAGGATGAGACTTATGATGAAAATTTGAATGAAGACATTGAGTACTGTAGTGAACCAAGCCTGCTCTCTACTGAAATGTGAGCTTTGCAGCTTTAGTCAAGGTGTTTGGGTGGTTCTTTAATTAAGGGGGAGAGGGGGGACGAGGCGACGTTTTTCTACAAAAATTTCCATTTATGGGATAAGACTTTAGTCAGACAACTCAAATATCAGAAAATAATTCGGAAAAAATGCAGTTCAGCCCTGAGAAGTAACATTGAAAAGGCTTATCTTTTACCTAGGATTATCTTTCTCCTCTGAATGAGACATCTGGATCTGCAGGGCCTCCCTCCCACATTCACTTCTACCATCTGATGTTCCCAGATCTCATCTTTAGAGCGTCCTCTGTCTCATGGTCTCTCTTATTGCTCCTGGACCAGTTATGGCTCAAAGCTAGCTCGCTGTTGCATCCATTTGATAGCATGATCTTCCTGGCTTCCTTGCTAAAAGAGAGGTTATTCTGTCCAAAATCAGCTGCTTTTCTAGAATCCCTCTGTTCTCCTTTCCAGGCTTGCATACCAAGATGATGAAAACAGACAACTTACTCCACCAGAAAACAACAAAGGAGAGGACACCCGGCACTCTCCGAAGAAAGGCTTTCTGTGCTCCTCGGCACTAGGTAGGATCCCAGCGCGACGTGCGAGCTGCGCTCTCCTCTGCCTCCACCAAGTTCCCACATCTTGCTGGAGAAATCCCAGCGTGTGTGGGCACGGGTGTTCTGCTTGAGGCGTTTAGCTCGTGAGACCAGGAATCCCATGGCGTGCATGCTATCCTGATGGGACACGTGATTCCACTAACTTTACGCTCAGGCAGTAGATGGATCTGTGGCTGTTTGGATAGTCCGTGGGATCTGTTTGATTAAGCCTGCCTGTGAATTAGAGGAGCTTATTAGAGCGCCGAAGACTCTCCAAACAATCACCAAGGAGTCACTGAATGGGCTAGCCTTGAGTTTATGGTGTTCTCTTCTGTGTGTATTCAGCAAGGAGAAAGGAGAGGCTGTCTCTTTTGTCCGCTGCGAGGAAAACAGGGAATTTCAGACTAAGTTAATACAAAACAAATTTGCTTTCGGCTCTAATTGCACCTGGAGATTTTCAAGTGCTTGAGCGTGCAAAGTACGCCCAGGTGAAACTCATGAATCACGAGATTGTATGAAAGTACCAGGACAAATGTGAGAGCCTGGAAGAAAATGAGCTCTTCTAAGTAGAATATTTTTCAGCCTTTTTCCTGAGTACTGATGTGGAGAAGAAGGACATTTTGGGGAGAAACTAAAAAGAATCCTGCATATAAAATATGTTCTCACAAACTAAAAGTGACAGACTAAGTAGTGAAATGTTTAAAGTGAGGCTACTGAATCTTCGCTCAAATCCTTCGGGATGCTTGTACAATTGAGTATTTTAAAAGCATTTACTTATTTCAAAACTTAAAGTATTAGGCAGTGACAATTCCTATATCTATCTGTAAGGCCAAATTTGCAGTCGGTCTTGATACAATGCTTCATTAACTACATTCTAGTGAATATTTATACAGCGATGTCATATTCATTTTACTATTTTTTTTCTCTAGAAAGGGGAGATACTTTTTATCTGCCTTGTAGAATTCGTTCTCTGGGTTATAACACATTTCCTCCAATCCCTGAGAGGGTCTTTTCTCAACAAATCAATATTACAGATACTTACTGTTTTCGGAATTCTAATTTTCTTTCCTTCTTTAAAAAAATGTCATCGGGATCAAGAAGTGCCCAAAATATTTTAGTGTGCCATGCAGCTGTACGTTTAATACTGGATTTATTTGCCATTCTTCAGAAGCAAAGCCTGAACGTACTTTGCAGTACATTTAAATTCCTGCATAGGGCGTACCTTTCTCATATTTATACAAGTAAAGTTTAATTTTATAGCAAGTAAACAACAAAGTTTCAATAGTTCCCCCTAAAATCTTTTTTTTTTTGCCAAGAGAAAAAAAGCTTTTTTCTCTTGCCTTCTTCCAAATTTTGAAAATGCCTCATGTCTATAGAAGCAGCCTTCCATTCATCAGTGAATTAAACCATTGATGGATTCACTTCCACTTGACCTTGCTGTAGACACAGCCTCATAAACTGGGGTATGTCTGGCAGCTAAGAGACACAGGTCACGTGCAAGAAGAGGCTGATGTCACCCGAGCAGCTTGACGTCCCCTCCTGCATGCTGTGTCCAGCCAAGCACAGCACCAGAGCCTCAGCTGCCGTCACCAGTCCCCCCGAGGGCTTTACCTGACCAAGAGAGGTCTGAGAACACCTGCCCTGCTCAGAAGGGAAATCAGCTGCATGGTATCTACTGGGACAATGTTTTAAAAGGGAAAAATAAAAACCATCATCCAGAATTTTATCTTGCAGCTTGCTTGGAAGATAGTGCTGGTTGGTCCATGATTCTTGACTGCTTTTAGTCAATCCAAATGCTTTGCAAAGGGCAAGGTGTTGAGGGGAAGTGGGCAGAGCCTAAAATGTGGGTGGTTTTGGTGCATCTCCAACGGGACTGCACTAAAAGAAATAGAAATCAGGTATGAGTGGTGGACACAGTTGTGTGTGATTGCTGTTTCAGGTCGAAGAGCATCTTTCCACTTAGAGTGTCTGAAAAGACAGAAAAACCAGGGCGTAGACGTCTCGCAGAAGACAGTTCTGCCTTTGCACCTGGTACATCATCAGGTAAGTGTTACTAACCACAAAGGGCCCAGCAACGGAACCCAGACCATTGTATCTCACCCTAATTTTTAAAAACCATTTGGAGTAGTTTCTCACCCATATCGAAGGCCCAATTTTTAGAAATCGTATTTGCCTTCATGCTAATTCCTGCTTTCAGGATTTGTCTCATTTCCAGAAAAGTGCTACAGGAACGTGTCCTTTGGAGTCAGCAGAGTTATCATTTTCTGATGTCCATGAAAGAGTGAAATAAAAAGATAGCTAGAAGATAAAAATAACTACCCAAATTGCATGCTGCAGTGCAGTTACACTGGCTCTGATGCTAGTATGCATGTGAATAAAATGTGCAGGGTCTATTTTCATATTAATTAAAGGTAACCAGTAACTGTAATTAATCATTTTAAAACATAAACTGATTACTTGTAATTAATCAGCTTCTTAAGCCCTTTGTAACTGCATCCAGCAGCCTAGCAAATGTATGCTTAGGCACGTACCTAGATGATTAGCCAGCTGTCATAGTCCAAAGCAGATTTGTGTCTTTTAGTTTGATGATGCCACTTCTTGTCACCATAAAAGGAACAGGTGCAGATGGTAGTGCCAGCCTTGCGAGTGAGGCGTCCTGCTCTGTGCAGTGTCCCAGGGCAGGGCAGAATGGCCTTCCCACCTCCTTGGGCTGCCACGGGGCAGCAAATGCCACACGGCAGGCACGGGAAGAGTGAGAAGTCAGAGCAGAGGAGGGAGAGATGAGCGTGCTTGAGGTTCCCTGGCTTTTCTCGCCTCCGCTCCCAGCCAGTTATCCTTTAAGGATGGAGCTCCAGAAAGCACTGGTCTGCAGAGAGTTACAGCTGTGGCAGGGACAACCAGCAAATGTGTTGGGGCAGGGAGGAGTGGGCAGAAAACAGCTTCCCACGTTCCCCATAGCAGCAACAGCTCTCCTGAGGCTTCCTGCCCTCCCACGGCAGGCCAGGCAGAGGGGGGACGTGCCTCCCACTCTCTCAGCCCACCCAGCCAGCAGAATCACCTCCCTCCAACCTGTGCAAAGAGGATGGAGCTACTTCACCCTTCCTCATCCCACCATGCAGCTCCAGACTTAGAGCAGTGGGGCTCTACCCACCCATTGCAAAGATGTTAGCCTACAACAGTGCTTAAAACAAGAACATAAAGTGGAAAGGTTGCCTCTGCAATGGATTTGGCCGCTCACAAGCGCTCAAACGGGTGTTCTCGCGCAATACTCATACATCATGGTATGTAAATATATGCAGCTGAAGCTCAAAGGAATCCCCAAGAGCTTCTTTCAACCTCCTCAAAGTTTGGATGAAACACCTTGTATATGTTTCTGCCGACAAGCTGAAAAACTGCTTCAGTTGTCCTGCTTGACAGATCCAGGGCTCTTCTTGAAGCCCTGGCAGTTTAAGGAATGTGCTGAGGCCGTCACAGACTGCAGGGCAGGACTTACACAGATGAATTTTTAAGAGCTTCCTTCCTCACTGAAATCCGACAGGAGTCTGTCATCTGATTCCTGAGAAAATCTCAGTGAAGCTTGTAGGTGACTAATAATTGATTCTTTTGTTCATCTGTCACCGAAATCATCAGCGCAGCACGGCGATATGTTTCCAAGGATTTCAGTGGCAGATGGAGCGAGCTTCACTTCACTTTAGATACCTCAAAGTTAGCTGCCGAGTTTAAACCGGCCAGTCGAGTCTCACTGTGGTCAACAGAGGGGAAAAGTGTCTCCAAAGGGCAAGTGTGAGTCTTGTCTGAGTCCTGTCCTCCAGATAGCATTTTCGGGCAGGTATCCGAGAGGCAGGAGGCTTGCTGGTGTCTCTCTCCACAGTTAGCTTAGGCTAAACACGTAGCCTTCGGACAGCCGAAGCGGGATGAGGCTCACCCCAACTTGAACAAGAGGATTCTCTGTGACGCAATCCACACGATTTTGTATTTCCTACACATTTATTTATTTGCTGGTACTAGGCAGCAGCAAGCTCTGTGAGGTGAGCTTCTGACTCTGCCGGCGTTGCTCATGGAACAAGGCAGCCGTCACCACGAATAAGAAATTTGTGATAAAAGGAGGCTGGATGACTCAGACGTCATGTACGTGATCGCAGGAAGGATGGGATGGCTCCAAGTATCATGATCAGATGTGGATCCTCCCGCCAACAGCAGATGCCTTAAAATCCAGTGGTGCTTTCATAGTAATTGCCAACCGCAGACGCATCTAAAATTCACATCTGGTATCCCTTCAGGTTCCAGGGCAGATGCTTACAGAAAAGACACCGACTGACAGTAAAAGCTAGCGGTATGGGTGGTGGCAGTGGTGGGAAAAGGAATTTCTGTCTCGCCCTCCGGCGAAGAGGTGGTGTTCCTGGCAAGGCTGTGGGGAGCGGGGCTGCATCCCTGCTGTCGGAGCAGTGGCTCCGAGGCTGAAGAACTGCAGTCATGAGAGTTTTCAGTCCGGCGCTTGGCAGTAGCGCAGCATACACCATTTAAAGGAAAGCTTGCAAAACGAGTTTGCAGGAAACGTCCAAACCGTTCCAGCAGCTGGCAGCTGTTTTCACAAGCCTCAAGACCCTCCAGGCCTTTCTTGGGTAGTTTCTCCAGCATCTCCTCCTTCCAGCAGGCTCTCACTCAACTTGTTCCTCTCTGTCCGCAGGCGTTAGCGGTGGCCGGCCTGAGTCCTCTGCTCCAGCGAAGCCATTCCCCCACCATGTTCTCTCGGCTGTGTGCGACACCCCCCGCGACACCCTGCAGCCGTGGCTGGGCCCCACAC